ACCTGGACAATGGTAAGAAAAGATGTCTCACAAGACTATCCCTGTCAACAAACTCACTTTTGGAAATCAGCCTCGAGATTGCGGAACACTCCCCACAGTTCATCCTTCTTGCGCGGAAATTCCATGCTAGCGGCCAGGTTCGCGGTGGCTGGAGTCTTGGGCACTGGTGGGAGCACGGGTGTCGAAACATTGAGTGACGCAGCTAGCTTTTCTAACGATGTTTTCGGCATCAGCGACTGAGGCGATGAGTTGCTGGGAGTAGTCGACCCATCGAATCGGCTCTGAGTAACGACGGCGACCATTGGGCGCCGCGGGCGCTTGTTCAGTATAGTTCGTCGTCGGGTGGGAGCCACGCTTTCAGATTCGGTGCCCGAGTCCGACTGCAGACTCGATCGTGATGATCTGGATGATGCTACCGGCGGATTCAGTGTCGATTGCTCCTCCGTCCGCAGGGACCGAAGCCGAGAACTCTTCCCTGATGGAGGCGAGCTCGATAGCCATGGTTTCCGGGCCAGACTGACGAGTCTCCCTGACATCGACCGAGCTTTGGAGGGACGGGCTACCGGAGATGGAGGCCTCGTTTCGGTGGGTTCTTTGGGCGGTAATGAGGTCGCTTCTGAGCCGGTCGTCGAGTCGGACAAGTCCTCCGCGGATACAGTGAACCGCGACACGGCAATGGTGGGCTTGTTCTTGGAACGAATGGAGGTCCGTCGCAAGATATCCTTACCCGCCGCTACATCCTCTTTCGACGGTGAATCCGACTGAGTTGGGTGTGTGAGATCGGAGAATGTTCTTCGGAGGCCAGGGTGGGCCGCTGCTTGTGCTGCCGCTAGGTCAGGAAGGTGGTTGTAACTGGCGGCGTGATTGAGAAAGGCATGTTCGTCATTGGGTTGCGTCATGACAATTTCGGAAGAAGACATGGCCGTGGTTCGTTCGTTCGGGTTATAAAACGGTGATTGTAAAGGGCCCTAGAAAGTTGCACATCTCCCCTCCAGCAGGAATTGGATCGTAGCTCAGGTGGACGATTGGGAGACCAGCTCCTCTAGGTACAGCAACTGCACGACACACGAGATTAAACCATGCGCTCAAGAACCTTTCCCTCCTAGCATTAAAATTGGCGATGGCTGTACGTGGATTGTTGGAAACAAGGCGCGGAGGCTGTGGAGGGGAGGGCGGATTGGCGATGGATTATGGCGGTGCAGGCAGAACGTCCGCGCAGGCAGAAGGGAACAAGCGAATACGATAGTGGTGGATCACCGGGCGCTCGAGCTGAATGTTCTCCCGAGAAGCTGAAATTTAAAGGCTCGATAATCTGTCAGACATATAGGCAGGAATTAGCCAACGCTGGCAATGGTGACAGAGAGCTGGGCGCGCTGTTGTTGTATTGCCGGACGGGGAAGAATTGCGGCGTTTCGGGGAGGTCGGGAGGCTGGAGTATAGCGGAGAAGTGGATTGAGCGAGGGGCAGGGTTGGACGCCGTGGTAACGAGGGGGAACAACCAACAAATTTGTCTTGGAAACGACAGGGCTGGGGGAGTGCGAAAGCGAATGGAGATTTAAATGAGGAAGAGAAGACAATGTTGAAAAAGTATGGTGGTGGAGCAGGAGAAGTTTAAGCAAGAGAGAGGGAGAGGGAGAGGAAGAGGGAGGGAGGGAGCGCGAGAGCGAGAGTGAGAGCAGCCAGAGAGCGAAAGGGAGGGACGGACAGACAGGAGAAGAGAGTAAGTAAGAAGGGAAAAAGGAAATCCGGGCAGCGCAACAGGCGGGCTCAGGGCAGAAATACCGGTCTCTTACAACACGCCAACAATCCCCCTCCAACGTGAGATTGAGTTGTTTGTCTTTCTCGATTTCTAATCTCTTTCTTCGTCTTTTCGCCTATAATTCCCATAGATTGGGCGCAAAGAGGGCACAGCGAGGGGAGAGGCAAAGAAAATTCAAAGTGAAGCGTCCCGGTCAGCTTTCTTTATTACGGGCCCGAGAATAGCAGCAGCAGCAACAACAGCAACAGCAATAGTGATCGCAACAACAAAAGCAGACCAAGACGAGGGCGAAGAAAGGACCGACTCGATTGAAGATGGGACTTCCTCCACGTTTAAGGATCCAAAGGGAGAGAGAGGTTCCAGCCTGTGGCTGTTGGAGCCGTCTGTTCCTGAATTAGGTTTGTGGTTTGTGGTTTGTGGTTCAATATGGGAGGAAGGACGACGATTTTATTATTTTTATTTATATTTATTTTTTTCTCCCCGTTTTCCTTGCTGCATCTGATGGTGGTTGAGTGATGATGAACTGAGATGAACCGAATTGACATGAATGTCCACAACGCATGATTGATTACTTCGAATCGATTGACAACAACAAGGTATTGATACCAGCCTGTTGTAACTTGCAACTACGTAGTGTACCCCTACAAACCCACCTTGTCTCCCCACCCTAGACCACTTCCAACCCTGGATTCTAGGAATCGAGTCTTTGACTCTTCTCTTCTTTATTATAGCCCCCGTATTCTCCTCTTGATTGTGTAATACTCAACATCATCATGATGATGATTACTCATGAAATCACACCCTTGTGGGAAGCCCAGTCTCAATACCTATAAATACCTGGAATCCCTGGACGCCCCCTCCAGCCTTGCATTCTGGGGGAACGGAATCTTTCAATAATCGTTGTCATGATGAATCACCCTACAGAAGGGGATTGACTCGGTTGGTACAGTACTTGCTATGAATAACTACACTAGCTATCAGTAGGTTCGACCCCAAGGGACCAATGCTTAGTCTTTTGCGTTCTGGTGAAGACAGAGAAGGACTATACATGCAGTAGATCGGTCGATAGGGCCTGTACTGTACTTACTGTATGTACATACAGACGAGACGATACCATACAGCAGCATTTCTATCCCATCACTACTCAGTGGAAAGTGGATGCTGCTGCTGCTGCTACTGCAACTGCATGCACGTCCAACCGACAGAGAAGAGGTGTCCAGAGATAGTCAGATATGACTAACTTACTATCTGAGTTGGTAGGTGGTGGTGTAGGTGAGAGACTGCTGACGGTTCCCTTTTCCTCCTACTGTAGTCGCCTACCAACCAGGTTATACATAGTTATCTCTACTCCGTACAGTACAGAGTACTCTTACCATACTGGCTACTCCATACTTCCGGTACGGTGACAACGAAAAGGATCAAGGACCCTGGAGCTAGGAAGGCCACAACGTATTCAACCCTATATAGGCAATGGGGGGGAGGGGGGCAAGAGGACAGGGACAAGGAAGAAGAGAAGGGGAAGGGGGGCGCGGACATCCGGCGTGAAACCAACTAGAGTAATGGATCGCGCGTAGAAAAACTTGGCACTGCCAAATTTCCCGTCCAAAAAGTAGGCCACAAAAAAGGAAGAGGAAGAGGATCTTGATGCATGTACTCGTATGAGTACTGTACCTTGATTCCTGTCATGATGCATTTTCTCCTATAAATAATGTCTCCTCTCCTACGGCGGTATGGAGTGCCTACGAGGAGGACTCTTGTTGTTCCCCTGTCGACTTGGCTACTCTACTAAGCCGGCTTTGCTTTGCCCCATCCAGGCCCCATAAAACGTACCGACCCCATCGTGTTGGTCCCAAATGGAGATGAGACCATTCTATCTGGATCGTCCCTCTCAATCTACTCATCGTCTCTCCTGATTCCTCAGCAATGTCGAAAGAGGGGACGGATATACTGACTCAGGTGCCTCTAATCTAATCGTTAACCTTGATTAGCATTGAAACAGTGGCGGATTCCTGCCTGCGCAATCTGGTTTATCCCCGAAGAATGTCGCACAGCCATAATCGGTCCACCGGGAGACCACCGTCTGCATTCCAGGATTGTCTTCGGTCAACGTCAGGCGGTGGGATCGAATGCAAGTGAAATGTGTGACAGTTGCAGAAGTAGTGAGCTGCTTCATGGATGAGTGAACTGGCTGGCCGCAAAAAAAGCCTGCAGCAGTTTTGCAGCACCCCAGCCACCCTATAGCCACCTACCGGCTGAATGGGATATCTCTCCCGGTTCAGGTTCGTGTCTATATGTCGACTAAGGGGATCGACTCTGCAGGCTGGGTGTGTTCGGTAGGTATGCCACTAGATCTATTTAAACCTTGATAACCCTCATGATGAGATGTTGTCAACATATCGACTGTGCATTGGCTGAACGGAAAGAACTATTGCACCATAGCTTGGTGTTTCTCCTGCGCACGGGGAAGTCAAACCCTCCCGACGAAGAGTAAGGTTTTTTTTTTTTTCTGCTTCAAAAAAAAAAAGAAAAGAAGTGTTTATCAGAGTAAACTTTCGACAAAGAAGGAAAAAAAAACCCCCAGACTGGATGATCTGTGACCGAAGCTAAGAAACACAGCTGGGAGAGCGGTCTGAGAGTCGTGCTGGAGCTGTCATATCTCGTCCGGCACCCGATGAAGAACAAGAACGACCACTGCCTCCCACAACCCCCCCCTGCGTCCAGTCCAATTCGACAGATCTCGTCTGCAATGCCTCTCATCCTTATTTTTTCGTGGATGGATGGATGATGAGTTTCGGTTGCGTGATGCATTTCTGATTTGGATACGCCCGATGCAGACGGGGAAAACACGTTATTGATCTGCTGCTGCCCTTGACTCAAGCCCAAATGTACGCTGTAAGGTAGGGAGATGTGAATCCCTTGCGAACCCGAAGCGAGGTACGTATTCCGGTAGTTAAGGTAGTCGGTGTCCGGCGCCCATGTGTCCTTCTGGACGGGCTGAATGGGCGGGCTGGCTGGCTCCAGCTGTGTTTGGCCCTTTGCACACGTCGCACGATGGGGTCATCAGTGCAGCCGGCCCTTCTTATCCCGACCAGTTCGTATCAGGTTCGTCGGGCGGGGAACAATGGGGGACGTGTGCTCTCTGGTCTCAAGTATTCCAGTAGTTAGTTACCTAGGTTAGTTACCTTGTTTACATGGTACGGAGTACGACTCTACTTTATCAATCGGATCGGATCGATCAATTCCGCCCTACCGCCACATCCCCAGTGCAGTGGCCTTAGGCTTGCCAATTTCTGTTGCCTAGCCTGCTCTGGGGTAAATGTTCAGTGGCTGGCTTTGAGGTTAACGGGGCAGGTATAACATGATACTCTCCCACAACACGGCATGCAGTCTCAACCTAGTACAGTACAAACCATCCCATGACTGCACATACCAATTCAAATTCAAAGAAAGAAAAAGAACTTCATATGCTCCAAATAGGTTTTAATTTACAAAGTGACCTTCGGAGGCACAACAACCGGGAGACGGCTCATCACATCGGTCTCATCACGTTTGCCCATTAGCCCCGAGATATCCTTCTATCTTGCCGTCGAGACAAGCAACCTAGTGGGCAGCGGGAGTCTCCTCCTCCTCCTCGAACCAGCTCTCCTCAACGGGGGCAGCCTCGCCAGCGGCGGCCTGACCCTCAACCTCGACCTCCTGGCTCTCGTAGGACTTCAGCTCACTGGCAAGGTTGGCCTCCTCGGGGGACTGGGGAGCGGCAGGGGGGGAGAACTTCAGGACGTGAGCATCGGCATCGCCAGCCTTGACGGGGGTGGGCTTGTAGGCGCGGAGTTCACGGAGGTAGAGGTCCTGAACAGGGTCGGCTGCGAAAGAGAGAACGTTAGAATTGCGTCGGTGGGGAGCACGCCGGGTCGAACATCGCGAGATCAATGCGACTCCACGACCAGTTTCCAAAGATTCGACAACGGCGGCAGAACAAGGAAATGGATCACCTACCCTGACGGATAGCGGAAGTCAGGAAAGTGCGGCGGGCAACAGAAACCTGTTGCCGAGAGACGCGGGTGAAGAGAGAGCGCTACCAGAAAGGGTCAGTCACACGGAGGAGGACTATACCACCAGCCACGGAGGGGATATTGCGGTAAACTCACGGAAGCTCTGAGAGACTGGGACATCATCGCGGCGGAGAGGGGGGGGAGATAGACGAAAGGAAACTCGAGGTGGGTGGGTTTCTGCGAGGAGAGCAATTGCTGTCAACCGTGATCGAAAGCCGATGTTGGAAGTTCGACGTTTGTTCGGGAGGCTTCGGCTTGGCGGGCTGAGTCAGCTGCGGCTGCGGCTCAACTGCCTTTCAGGTCAGGTGCTTTCTGCCTGCAATCCTCCACTTGCTTACCTGATTCTCCTCTCACTTCACTCTCGTCCTTTTCGTTCCTTTGTCCCTCAACCTCCCAACTCCCTCCTCCTCCTTTCCCCTCCTCTTGGACAGGTCTATTTTCACCACCTATCCGGCCTCTCTTGTCTGAGAATCCGACACGTCTACGTTGCTCTGCTCGTTTCTGGTCTCCCCGATCTTAACGTGCAGCTGCTACCTGTCAGGTTCTGCGGCCCATTTTTCCGTGAGAGCGTAATCGTTCACGGAGACCTTGACTGGTTCATCGCGGTCGGACAAGCTTGGCCTCAAGGCGTGCGAAGACCCTTGAGTGACGGAGATTGATTAGTGACGGCACCTCCCCTGGGAACGTGCTATTCTGAGTTGGGGAACTGTTCGCAGGACGAAGAGTCCTTTACCTGCTCTGAAAGGTAAAGATGCATCAGTTCACCATGGAATCTGATCCCATTTCTGAGGTGTAGGCAAGGTGTCGGTGGCAGCTGGTCTGGTAGTGGCCTTGCCTGCTCATCGTCCAAGCCCATGTCTAGTCCTCATATCCTCCTTCTGCTGGGAGTTGTCTTCATCTTGCTTGGAAAGGGTTTGCAGCAGGCTAACATGAGAACGAAAGCCAGTGAGACGCAGAGACGTGACTTTCTCGCGAGACCTCACGATCCGCTCCGCTGCTCCCTTTGCGTTGTTGCTGGAGAGGGTTTGAATCCTCTGTTGACGAAGAACAGTCGCCACACTGTTCTCGCCGCTTTACATTCGTTTGTGTGCGCGCAAACATAAGCCGCTCTACTACAGGAGTTCCGCGAAAGTTAAGCCGGCGCCAACCCCACGACCCATCGCCACGACACGAACAGAGAAAATGGCCACCCAGAAAGCTGAGCCGCAATGGAAGAAGAATCTATCCGCCCACATCATCTGCCCCGAGTGCAAAGAGGTGCCCCCGAACCTCGAGTTCCCCGGCTCTCACGAAACCGTTTGTGGATCCTGCGGGCTGGTGCTTGCTGATCGAGAAATCGACATGCATTCCGAATGGCGTACATTCTCGAACGATGACCAGAACAACGATGATCCATCTCGTGTCGGAGACGCAACGAACCCGCTGCTCAACGGTGACCAGTTGGAAACTCAGATTGCCAGCGGTGGCTCGGGTCGAGTGCGCGACCTCTACCGCGCTCAGAACAAGCAGTCGAGCGAGAAGGCCAACAAGGCTCTCCTGGCCGCGTACAAGGAAATTGGCGCGCTCTGCGACGGTTTCAACATCCAGAAGAACGTTGCAGACACCGCCAAGTATCTGTTCAAAATTGTCGATGACGCCAAGGCTTTCAAGGGCAAATCGCAAGACGTGATCATCGCCGGTTGTATCTTCATTGCCTGCCGTCAATGCAAGGTGCCTCGTACTTTTACCGAGATTTTCGCTGTCACGAAGGTCACGCGAAAGGAGATTGGACGCATCTACAAGGCTTTGGAGAAGTTCTTCACGGCTCAAAACCTCGAGCGGATCAACGCCGTGGTTTCGAGCGGTGGTGTCCCAGATCCCAACGACACCTACACCGCGACCACCTCCACCAAGCCCAGCGATCTCTGCAACCGTTTTTGCAACCTTCTCGATCTTCCCTTCCAAGTTACCAGCGTCTCCTCTGCTCTTTCCGACCGCGTCACCACCATGGGCGATTTGGCCGGCCGTTCTCCTCTGTCTATCGTGGCCGCCTGCATCTACATGGCTTCGTACCTGATGGGCCACGGCAAGTCCGCCAAGGAGATTTCGCAGGTGGCGCACGTCAGCGATGGCACCATCCGTGGCGCATATAAGCAGCTTTACGCCGAGCGTGAGCGCTTGATCGATCCCGAGTGGATCAAAGAAGGCAAGGGTGACCTGAAGAACCTGCCCGCTAGCTAGATTCATGTCCTTCCTCCCTTTTTAACTGAAGCGAAAGCGTAAGGAAACCCCGGGCAGCCGCAATCTGCCTTGAAAATTGCTCTGATCTTTTCCACCTTTAGCGTCCCCCAATCCTCCTTCCTCGAAATTCCCGTATATCTAGTCTCAGCCTTTAACCACTGGTGCGCCTCATGACCAAAACAAAAAAAAAAAAAAAAACACACCAAAAAAATCTCAAATCAAAGATACCCTTTTTTCCAAAGAAAAATCCTCTCCGTACTTTTTTATCCTCAATTTCACTCTCTACCTTTCCAGTCCTTCCTCCAAATCCTCCATTAGCAAAGAATTGAGTTCAATTCATAATATATGCTTTTACCCGGTATAAATAGCACAAGGAAACAGTATTTCCGCGATAGTTTGTGTCTGACTCTTTTTACTTTCGAGTGGACTCTTGAGTTGCTGCGAGTGATCGGCCTATGCAATTTCCTTTCTGTCTGTCTGCTTTACCCGGGACAGTTCCGTCCTAGTTAGATCATGCCTTCTAATCTCTTTTCTGTGCGGTGTTTGCCAGTCAGTCAGTCATCAGTCATATGGATAACTATAACTAGACAATGTCAACCACGTTAGTTGTGAAAAATGCAAGCAGACTCCCGATTTTATGGAGACACGGACCTACCTACCTACCTACCAACCTACCTACCTACCTCCTGGGTATCGGTGGGTTTTTTTTTTTACTCTTGATCTGTCAAGTTAGTACGTATGTACGTAGTGACCGACTGTATTGATCCCGGATGTTAATATGCCGTTCGTTGTCTAAGGGTAGATGCCGAGTTGGGAAGGGGACGGGAGGAGCTGAGGGCATTAGGGCTTGAGATAGCTGGCACGTTTTCATCAGTGGCTTTGGGATTGGACGAGGTGCGGTACTGTGACTGTACGTGCATGTACACTTTTCTACACATGAGGGCAATGGGGCGATGGGTAGGGGATATGATCTGGATGTTGGGGGTGTGTGCGAGCAGCAAATTGGAAGCTGGATGTTGTTGAGTGAGAAGGATAGATGCTGGTCTTAAAGATGGCAGCAGTTTGTGGATACTTCATCTATTGTTGTGTATACGTGTGTATCTACATGCAGACAGGTACGCTATGCAGTAGTGCAGACTGACTGGCTACGGCCTTCCTTGTACGCAATTTTTGTTTTCTTGCTCCTCCTGTTTGTTTTATACACGGGTCCTATCAACTCGTATTGGGTTCATAAGACAGACAGACACACTAGCACACAGAACAAAAAAAGAGATGATTAAGATACTGGGGCAAGAACACTGCATGCGATTGTCTGATGCTTTACTGTCGCTCATTCCTCCTCTCTCCATACAACGTCTCAGTTGTCGATGGTCTCGCCAATGTCACCCTCCGACGGCCTCTTGCCGTCAGCAGAAGCAGATAGTCGTGCTGCGATATCGTCGATGGGCGATCCGTCAGGCGGGGACACGATGGTGGGTTTCCCGGCGGATAGATCGTTTGTGGTGACAGGGTCGACGGCAGGGGCCGGCACAGCCGTGCTGTTGTCGTCGTTTAGCGGGATGGAGTGCTTCACTTCGGTGAATGTTGGTTCCGGTACGGGCTCGGGCAGGGTTTCTTGCATCGGGCTGACGTCCGCTGGGGCAGCAGCTGGAGCGACGGCGCCGGGCGACACTGGCTCGTCCCGGGCTTCCTCTTTATCGAGAGCGGTGGTTGGAGCTTGGGGCTCGGCTGATTCACCAGCAAGGTTCTTAGCGATGGGAGGTGCCATGGGTTCCGGGGAGGTTGTCTCAGAAGGCGACGGGGCTGTGGTCGGCTTTTCGTCACCGACAGTAAGGGTTCCGTCCGCACCCATTTGCCACACGTTCCAGGTCTCCGTGATCTTGACCTCGGGAATGGTCGGTAGCCTTGCGGGCGTCTTTTCGACAGCTGGCTTTCGCCTGGTGGGACCACGGGCACGGCCTTTCCGGGCATCACTAAGCGGTACTTTCTCGGCTGGCGCCTCCTCTTCCTTCTTCTCCTGTGGCTTAGGGGGCGCTTGCGGGCCGAGCTGGAGCCGCGAGTTCAAGTCGGAAAGGAACCCGGCCTTCAGAGCGGCAATCTTACTTCCACCAGGCCGTGCGGGAATGGCTGGCTTGGGCTTAGCGGCAATATCCTTGGCCTCTTCAGGGCTGGCGCGCGAAAAAGGTTTGGAGGGCCGGGCCGGAATTTGCGGCTTCGGTCTGTCGGGAATCGAGGGAGGTTGTCGCTTATCTGTAGGGGAAGTGACCGGCTTCGAGGAAGCATCCACCGGAGGGGCCTGTCCCGGGCGTTTCAGTGGGCGGAGGGGAATGCTGGGCTTTGAGGGAACCTCCGGGCTCTTGACCTCTTCTTCTGCCGGTTGGACTGTCGTCACTAGCGTATGACTTTCAGGTGCATCTTCCCAGATATCTCGACTCGGAAATCGCTGCTTAGAGATCTCCGGGCGTGAAGGCCTGCCTTCCCGATCGTCCGTTCCCAAGATGTGTGAAGCGACTTTGTGAGCGTCAATCTGAGGCGCCTGGCTCTTGCGATTCGACTCTTGCTCGGGTGTTTCAAAAGCCTCCTCCTTGGGGATGTCCGGCGTAGATACAGTGGCAGATAATTGCAAGCTGTTGGGCGAGTCCTCCCAGATGTCTTGGCTGGGAAAGCGGTGCTTCAATTGGTCCGGACGCTGCTTGAAGCGCTCTGCTGGAGTGATGGGCTTCTGGTCCTTAGACTCGTCCTCGGGGAAAAGAGGTTCGTATTCCTCGACATCCTCAAGCGGCGTATGCGTGCCTTCGTGCTCGTCACGCGAGTTGTATCTCGCTAGAGCTGGCATACCGCTGTGAATACTAGCCGTCCTGCTGTTCGAACGGCTGTGGGTCACGCTTGGAGTGCGGCTTCTTCCTTCATAGTCTACACTGCCATTGCGGCCAAAAGTTGGCGAGACAGCCGGGTGCTGGAAGGCAGACTCCGGGCGTACTTCGTCAGCTGCCAAGATAGACTCCGGCTTTTCTTCCTCGAGATCCAAATTGTGAGTGAGCTCCTCGGGGCCAGGAGTCTGAGCGAAGCCGTCCGGATGATGCAGATGGTGATATGGCTCGTCGACATGAATCACCCGGGAGTGAGTCGATTTGTCGTCACTTTCCTGCTCTACAGCAGTCCCAGGCTGAGCTTGTGCATCGGTAGCCGGAAAACTCGAATTGCGTAGAGGTGACTCAACAGCGAGTCGAGAATTACGACGCGAGTCGAGTCCCGGTGACGCTAGCTGATGTGTGTACTCGTCGGAGGCAATGTAGCCGACCTCCTCATCGGGAGTTCCCGCCAGGGCAGGGGATGTACCTGTACGTCACATTATCAGAAACTGTCATTAATAAAAGACCTGCAAGAGCTTACCAAGCCCAGAACCATTCACTGCAGAGCCACGGACAATTTTGTTCAAATCGTCGCTGCTCAAGGCCCAGTCGGGCCGTGGTGTACCAACACCTGGGCCATATTGGCCTTGCTCCTCTCGAACAAACTCTTCGGGGTGCTTCTCATACCAGGCCTTCTCGAACTTGTCGTTTGAAGGAACACCATGACCATGCAGACCATAGCTACCAGGAGGCAGAGATGCCTCGCGGCCACTGCGAGTGCGGTGATGGTTGCGTCCAGAGCGTTTCTCCTGGGGTTCCAGGTAAGGGCTCGGGGATGGAGCTTGCACATCGCCGGCATTAGGGTACATCGGGACTCTCTGTCCGATCTCCGGAATGCCATGCTCCTCTCCGTGGAACGACTGTCGACGATCTGCGGACATGGTTGAGGAGTCACCACGTGAGCCGCTGGCTCGCGAGTGCAGTGAGCGGGTGGGCCGCTCAGGATGATCGTCATTTGAAGGAGATGGAGCACGCCCCAGGCCTGCTGCAGCAGCCTGACGGGAGTCTGTACGTGTCACAGCCTGCACTCTTGCCTTGGCGCTGGAAGTGGGTAATGACGGTCGTGGCGCATGAAGCTTTAAATCGCTTCCCACGTTTCGGGTCTCTGGCGGTGTAGCCTGCTGGGCCTCGGACACATTGGCCACATCCAGGTCCTGGTATTCAATGCCCTCTTGACCAAGCGAAGGTATCGTGACACTAGGGGGTCTCTGGGGTAGGTCATTCGAGGTAGTTCGTTTCAGGCCCCATCCGTTGGGCAAATCGTTCAGAGGAGACGGGGCGTAGCTATCAGGAAACGGAGATACGGAGCGCTCGGCACGATTGGACGGACGAGGAGGGATCTTGGGGCCTTCTGCTGAGGCGGGCGCAACATTCTGTTGTGGAGACCTCGACGGCCGCGGGGGAATGGCGGGGGCTGCTTGTGTAGTCATGGCGGGCTGCTAGTAAGGCAAATGACAGATTGAATCTGAGCTCGAAGGTCAACTCTGGCAATCAAGTCAGTCGATTATGGATCTATGGGGGATAGAGATCCCCAGTCACATGAATCCTAGCGAGTGTGCATGTCAATGGTTGGGCGGGTGAGGACGCTAGCACAGGGCAGCTTTGCATCGGTCACTGTATATGCGCTCGGTTCGCCATGGAAAGGGGGAAAGACAGTACGTTGTCTATTTTTGACGGACTTTGAAGACAAGATCGGAGTTCATGAGAAGGATATTGAGATGTGAGTGGGGAACAATCTAGGGCAAGGAATGTACATGTTCTCCAAGTGAGTAGATAAGGTAGACACGATGCGTGGCCGATCACCTTCTTTCACCGTTGGCATTCCCTGCCATCGCCTTGACAAAGACATGAAAGATTTGGGAAATCGGTGGGGGAAACAGTCGACTTTTGGAGACCCTGATAAGAGCAGTAGAAGTGATTCGCTTACCGGCTAGGTTTGATGGTGGGAAAAGAAGTATGCGAGGTGCTATGCTTATGCGGGCGAGCTTTGGAGGGAGTATTGGCCCAAGTAGACGGAGACCAAATGGCGTCAATTGGATGGACAGTAGGGGGGATGCGGAGTTGGGCAATTATAGTAGTAGGGAAGATACTTGAGGGTCAGAGTACGAACAAGGAAGTAAGTAAGTAGTAGTAGGTTGATAGAGTATAGACGAGGGGAAAGTTTAGGGGAGAG